TTTCGAGTCAAAGCTATGTTAAGTCGACCAGAGTGCAAATAAAGTAAAATCAAAGTTTGTTCGAATTTTTGTAGCTTGGTTTATACACATTTCTTTTTGTTACAATTGCTTTGGTTTGACTTTTAGTCAAGCTATGATATGTAAAAGGCACTAGTTTTGAACCATTTTCCATGTCGTCATTACTATACTTGAGGGATAGCACTAATTATTGGGTACTAATGCCAATTAGATTAATAGAAAATTACGATCAAAAACCCTTTACATGAAATGATTGAACCTAGTATATAGGTATATCGCAGAGAAGATGAATACAAGCTCGAGATAAAATCAATTTGAGCAATTGCAAAGTATTAAGCTGTTACTTCTTGACACTGTTATATCGAAAACAGAATCATGGTACTTCTACGCATGTTGTATTACTCTGTTATTGGGCATAGTTCAAAAATTAAATTATACAAGAATACAGCTATTTGTGCTAAACTACCAGGAAATGCCAAAAAGCAGCAAAAATATAGAATAAATCATCCAACGAAGCACTAACGACCTCCAAAGTTCTCAATACATATTTGATGGTATCATGCTTGCAACTATTACATGGAGCAATTGCCCTTACTCAATTATTCCACAATTTTTTGCAATCCAATGCAATATCATGGTCAGTCCAAATCCTAATCTTGAAGATTGTCCTTTAATTAATTGAGCGCTTAAAGTGTTGCTACATCACGGAATCTACCACTCAGGAGCTTTGTTTTAGCGTAATATAATCTAAATAAGTATTGGATTAAAGATTATTGGCCATACTTGTTATGATATGCTGTGTCGTAGCTTACTAAATCTATCGTAAAGCATTGCAAGATCTTGCTTAATTTAACTTTAATAAATTTGCTCTGATTGCTAAAGTTAGCAAAATACTAATCCTATCTTACTCATATGCTCTTAATGAACTCTCTATATTAGTATCAGATGACCATAGATGTTAAAGCGTTGAGTCAATATTGGTGCTTGAATGAAAACAAATATTTAGCTAAGATATCGTACTAGGGTAAGAATAGTTTATCATACTGTGGCTAGTCGGGAATGATATTTGTATAAAAACCGTTTTGGTTACTATAATAAATTGTAAATGGTCCAGTCTAGACTAATTTGGTACGGATAACCTATGTAGTTGTAAAATAATGTAGATCCTTGCTATGCAGATTATAGCTACATGCACTACCAAAAGTATATCAAGAGACAATTTGAAGATGATTCAGTAGTGGACTATAAAAGTATTACTACTAGTTACATTAGCCTAGAATAAAGAAGCGTGTAGAATAATACTAAAGATCGAATAAATTCTTGAATTTTAATTTTGTACAAATTTTTGAAATTGTTTTATTTGTATTATCGTATATGATGATTATGTTTAAGATCATTTTATTCTGGAATTTGTTTAATTATGTTGCTAGGTTAGTATTATAGCCAATCAATGGATGCATACCATTCGCTAAATGATCGGAACTCGATTCATGAGATTAAAGGCACCCACCCTACAAGTTAATATCGAACATAGTATACATCACATGCAAGTAATTAGCAATCTTTATTTATTTTTATCTATAGGCCCACGCTAAACTTTAATCGACTATTCTACACAGCTAATGTTAGGCGTAACAATGACTTTGTCTTATATTATGCTAAAATGATCAACGCCATAGTAAACATAGTATTGACGCCTTGTCCAAATCTGGTAAAGTTTGGATACTATGCTAATATAACGGTTGTTATGATTTTGTTGATATCCGGCATAGAAACAATTTTTGCACCCGTCAATCACGTATTGATATCGATATTAAATTTCTATCTAATCAGCCTTCCAAGACTTTTCTATTGCATCGTATTTTATTTTCATAAAGTAGAACATTGATCATGTCTCAGATCCGGTATTCCATGCCGCACTAAAACGAATTTGAATGCACCCATATAATGCAAACGACAGGAGGTCCATTTATATAATGCGCGATACTCGCTCAATAGCTACATTGCAGCGATAATAGCAAACTCAAATCGTTTTCATAATTGTTATGATAGTTTTTCAAGACTATAAGTTTTAAATCTACGAACGAAACATTTCTACTATTTTAGCTCTATTCCTTAGTAACACCTCAGTTCTTTTTAGTAGATGCACACATGCCACATGTGCTTACATGATCGAAACTATTGATACAGGTTCAAAAGTAAATAATCTAATATGGTAATGACTCCACACCTTCATTTGCATAACTTTTATAATATAGCTAATAGATACTTTATATGAATAGATAGTAATAAAAGACAATCAAGATGATACGAATTTCTATTGAAATCATGATCACGCCTAATGTTCACGGAAAATGGCAAAACCAATCTTACTGGCTTAGTAGTACGGAGAATCTATTTAAGAAATGGCATTAGTTGATGCTTTCTATGTCACATAAAAATGATTTCTGCATTTAGGATAAAAATTAAAAGAGAGTTTTAATTTGCTTTTCTTAAGGGTTTATGCAATTTATTGCAAAATAACGAATAGTGTAACAAAATAGGCGAGGTATAATCAAATTCTTGGCCTTAAAAGTTACTTTAGTACAATAATTCATATTGTGAGTTGAAAGTAAGACTATACTACAAAAGTCTGAGGCATTAGACATTTTGCAAAATACCTAAAGAATTTCAGGCATTTTGCAAAATGCCGGATTTCGCAAATTGCCGGTAACATTGCTAAGAATGATCGTGAATACACTAACGATGAAAAAAAATGAAAGACTTCCTGGATGGGTTCACTATAACTTTAGCCCAGCAACCACAAATAAATGAAAGTTGTATTAAACTTAAAATAGCTCAAGTAATCCTTAAGGAATAGCGAAAATATCTCCAGAAAAAGCAACTACATATCTTAATTCAGATTATTTTAATCTGTAAATTAATTAATAGGATATTTCTAAGAGCATTTATGAGAACTATCTTATCGTTTCTATCAGCGGATTGCATTAAGCAATTTCTGTAGCGCAGATTTATTTCTTACAACGAATAATAATGCTTTTTAGCCTTGCCCTATATTCTTGCCGATTTGCTTAACTTATAAATACTGTCTTGTATCAAAGAGCAAGAAATCAGTTTTGAGATCATCTTGCTTCATATCGCAATAAATTCGAATGCTATGTCACACTTATATTGATATTCTACTCTAACGCTCACTATATGTCTAGAAATAGTACGGATATTATATATTATTTTGTACACTTTCAGTCTTTACTTGGATTACTAGTGTACTTCTACATATAGAATAGATGTAATAGTATACTTCATATAATAAGTATTGTACTATTATACAGAATAAAGTTAACATATCATTTTGACTAAACATTGTTAAGCTAATGTGTACAAATGCGTTCAGGCATGGAAAAAATTACACAAGTAATTGTTGTATCAAGGTAATCCAGATATTACTTTTACTATTATCTATTAAATCTTTATGTTGATGTCTGAAAGGAAAAAATTTTAGATATTACTTATCCAAGAATGACCTAATTCACCTTCAAGTTGCACAATGGCCTTAGTAGTAGGGTCTTTCTAACACAAACAGCATTACCTATTGGCGAATAAATTAACTATCTTATCTCATTTCTATGATTGCAATGATAGCGCTCTTAATATTTCAAAAGACTATCTTTACTAAAGAGGTTACGACCAAAATCCATAATCAGCCATTATACATAGCCAAAGTCAAATAATTTAAGCGAAATTGTCATATTTCGGACTTTGCCCGAATAAATCTATTACTCAAATCCTAACTTACGCACAACTTCGAGGGAGGCGCAGAATTAAGCGGTAAAAGTTTCATTAATATAATATGGGTAAGTATTGAAATTATAACCTACTGCTACCTGTTGGTAGACCTACAGAAAGTATTTTGCAGCGAAAATTTTACTAATACCGTAAAAAGAAGGATTTAAAATTCTACTCTATAAATTTCCTTAACAAACATATCAGGACTATTCGTACTACACAGGCAGGAATTTTAGCCTTGAATTACTAATAAAAATAGTCACTACTCTACCTTGCTGTCACGGTACCTTTTTGCCGTGATGAGTTAGAAGTGTTATGGTGTTTGTTATTGATAGAAATTGAAGTGTTATGGTGTTTGTTATTGATGGAAATTGATGTGTTATGATGATCAACTGTCCTTAGTTATTTTGTATGTATTCGAATGGGAGGATAGACTAGATAAATATAAATCTTGATGATGTGCAACCTTTGTGTTAGAGAGTTGTTTATGCTGACACGATTTGTAGTCGTGTTGTAAGATTATTACTGGATAGGAGGTTATGGTTGTGAGATCTCCTACGTAAGATTAATGTAAATAGTAAATATCTTAGAAAGTATATAAAGGCTAACTATGATGTAATGTGGACGAGGAGAAAGGCATAGAAGAGAATAAACTGTAGTGATAGTTATCTGTTCAAAAGCCTACGCTTAACTACTTGTGTAATCGAGTAACCTAGTGACGGTCAAAGAAGTGTAGTCCCACACCCGAGAAGTTAGTGTTCTAATAGGAAGCGTAGTTCCAGTAGCACTTGTTCAGTGTCGGGATTGTGCCGTACTTAGCTAAGTTTTACACGATAAGTGGAGATCCTGTGTCACAAAAACGTGGTTGTGACACTTGCACAAGTTAAACACTTCTGGTATATATCGTTATA